CTACTCACAAAATATGAAAAAGAAATGGTTTTTTGGACGTATCTAGAAGGAAGATTGCTTAAAAGTGACGAAAAAAATAAGAGTATGAAAAACACAAATAAAATTTTACACTTTTCACCTCCAAAAAGCCAGAAACCTGGAAATTTGTGTTATTTTGGAAAAAACGTATTTTTTATCAATACTTTGAGAATTTTGAATTTGAACCACCTGATTTTTGTTTTTTTTTCTAAATTACTCTAAGTTGTTTTTTTTTGTTTCAGTTGTTGTCCAGCTTGGCCACGGACTTGGACAACATGCTCAGCGAGTTGTGCACAACTCCACCGCCCCCTTACGACCGCCTCTCCGACAGCGAGCTTCACACAAGGTAAGTCAATTTCGTCAATATATTTTTCCCCCAAATTAGGAAAAGTGTCACTCAAAGCTATTAGATGGAAACGCCACATCGTTTATTTCCATTTTCCCGTCACTTGTTTATTACTGCAGATAATGATTAATCACATTAGCGCCCCCTGTGACAAATTTTATATATGGTAGCGATCAAAGAAGAAAAAATACACTTTCCTGCGAATGTTATTGCCCAAGGGGGTTGGAATTCTATTCGTACATATCGAAAAATAAAATGCGCTAAGGGACATCATCCCATCCCTCGAAGGGGGGATGCGGAAATGATGAAAAGTCACGAGAGGAAAATTTTATTCAGGAATCATACAATGTTGCTTTCAGTGATAAATCACATTAAATTTCATATATTAACAACTTCAATTGAATTTTGGAGAGGAATTCGGGCTCACCGGATTTTTCTATACCGGAAACCGGAATTATGATCGAATTAGTGGTCGGGCACGTAGTGCTTGTTTAATTTCGCTGTTATTTTAATGCTTATTAAGTCTCGTTTGCAAAACACAAATCTGATTATTGGGGGCGATATTAATGAAAATGTTTACTTTATGTTTCGGTAAACAGAGGGCAATTTGCAGGTTTAAGGGCTTTGTTATTTGAGACAGTTTTGTTTTTGATCAACGATCCGGAAAAGCAAATTTTTTTGAGGAAAATGTTGAAACTTCTTAAGAAGTCTAAATATTGTTCAAAAAAAAATAATCATAATTATTCTATCTACCTGATTGATATTTACTACGTTTTTTATATATACTACTCCAAAAATAAAGAAACAGAGTTTTTATCAGCTTTTCCTATACTTAAATTTAGCCATTTTTGAAATATTTGGAAAAAAATTTAAATCTGCACCTTCCATTTCGTTTTTTTGGCGTTTGAAAGAGGGCTTAAAATTTTCTCCTGGTGTTTTCAAATTTTGGAAAAAAAATTAACAAACCCCAAAATTTTAAGGTTACTTTTGTAATAATTCAAATACCCATAACACAATTTTGATTTTGCCAAATGGAAGATAATTTAATTCATCGATCTGCATTAACTTTCCCTGTATCTAAATTTAATAATTTTCAAGTTATGATAAGACTATAGTAGAGAATTTATTACAAGCATAGTTTGCTATGGAAATCAAAAATGTCAAAATTTTCTCTAGACGGAACACCCTGTATAATCCTCTATCGTTTGCACTAGCAAATTTTTTTTAATCAATTAGAAATATTTATTTTTGCGCTGGTCCTAAAACTTGGGACACCCTGATATTTGATATTTCCAAA